TAAAAAAGTGAATGGCAAAGCAGCCGCTGTAAAAAGTTAATGGAAGCAAATGCATCAAAATGGTTAATTGGATCTGGAACAGAAGATGACGGACACTTTGAGTGTTTGTGGCAGCAGTGGTAACTAAATCAAACGTGCAACATATGCAGCGCGCAAGTAATTTGCAGCACACACACGCGCAAACACTCAAAAGGGCAGCACGTGATGCATGGAAAAGGTGCATGCAACACTTGCAACAACACATATAACACGCACACTGCAACAGCATTTGTAACTTCCATTCTGCCTCTGCCTCGAAGTTTGAGTGTTGTGCGCGCATAGCAAGTGGCATTTATGTGGCAAGAGCTTTGGCAGTGCAGCTATATATAAATATATATGTATGTGTGCGCGGCAGTGATACGACACGCATTAGCGCGAATTGAGAAGTAACCGCACATACACACACACATATATATGTGAGCCAACATACTTCCTCACCTTTGTTGCGCTTTTTGTGGCATTTGCGCTTTAATCGAATATTTAGTCAAGTTCGTTAGCGTGTTGCATGGTGCTTGTTGTGCGCTACAGCGCGTCCGTAGTGCACTTGTGGTGTGGGGTGTGGCAAGTCATGGCTCATATGATGTATCTGTTTTCGCTACTCATTGCCGGTTAATATATATTTAGTTATATAGACGTATATGTCTGTGTGCGTGTGTGTGTATGCAAGCGGTTGTCTTGTGTGTAGGCACTTGAGCGCTGCCACAAATATGCATTTAACAGCATTAAATAGAACTCGAATTGGCGCAACATGCAACATGGTGCATGCAATACTTCAAGTGGGTTGTGAATTAAGGAAATAATTCAAAATAAATTGGAGGAAGTGTGGAGATTGACTCTGAGCGCTGCAGATTCTAATATAAAACTTTAATAGAGTCTTTAGCTGGATTGTAATATTTCACGAACCTGAAATTAGCTAAGGTCAATGAAAGACATCGATTTAATGTTTAAAAAAACATCATTCCTGCTATCAGCCTATTAACTGCAGACTGAGAGAAATGCAAAAAAAAAACTTCATTGTCTCTTCTCTTAGTCTTCTGAACAATTAAATCGTTCTTTTGAAAAATAATATTGCCCATGAACTCGAATCTGTTTGATATCCGAATATATTTTAATCCACTGCTCTCCTAACGAGTTCCTTAATGGATAAGGATCCATTCACATTCTATATTTCCTGACCTTCAGCCTACTTACTAAGCCTCTCGTTACAGCAGTATGAGTACTGCGTCAAACTCTCGATGGAGAACTTATATATCTCTGTTGTTCCAAACGACCATTCGACTCTTTCCTGTAGCATTTTTGAAGGCTCCGAAGCATTAGCGCACATTCTATATATCTTTAAGCACTAGCAGACAGTGTACACTTTTTTTCGATCCGTTTTTTATAAAAATATGGCAACTTCTCAATGAAATGTACATATGTACACTGACTAAGCTCTGACTCAAATATTATTATGCGTTTCATGCATACAAAGAAAACTATTTATCTCAAAAGTTCAGTGATTCACAAAATTAGTTTAAACTTTTTATTCCACACTCCACTTATCACGTACAAAATAATTCGCAAAGCAACATTGCAAATGAAAGTCCATAAAAACACAACAATTAAAATTTTACAATAAAAATTTGTGACTCAATAGAGATCCATACACTTTTATTAATGAGGTGTGTGCATGCGTGCGACTATTTTGAATGCGCTTTGCTGGCAAATCGCTCGGAGAAAATCTCTGCGTTAAAATTAAGCGCTACGAATTCAAGTGAACTCATAATTATCTACTCGCTCCTTGTTATGTGAGTGAATTTAATGACTAGTCATTGGTACAAAGACCGCAACAATTGTAACGGACGACAAAACTCAAGCAAAACTGTGGAACTTTGAGGTTTATGACAACGGCGGCGAGCGAAGTTGGCAGATTTGCAAAACGTACTTTGAATTTTAAATGCCACATAATGCGCACAATGGCCAGTGAGCTGACAGCCAATGCGAGTGTGTTGACTTATGATTGATATCTATTGTCGGTGCTTGGGTATTTTTCAGAACGTGACCGTTCTAACGGAGAATTTAAAGTTATTGATATGTAGATTGAATAATGTTGAGATTATGTGACATTTTTAGTTTGTTCCTGTTTAGCGTATAAACTAGGTCTTCGAAGTCAGAATATAAATATTGTATAAGAATGAAAAACTACTATGATTTGGAGACGTGTTGTATGTTTGAATATTACTCGTTTGGTGCACACTAAATTAGTTATGGATAAAATCCTTAAGATGACAAAGGGTACTAAGCAGTTCTAGCAATCTTGACAGCCTGGCGCCATTAATTTACTTGTTGGCGGATTATGTATAGAGTATAGCCAAACCTAGCTTTATTGCCTCAAAATGTGACAGCAAATTACATATTTTTACAAAGTTTTTGCTGAGAAAATAGTCAAAAATATGCTACCAAAACAATCCAGGAATAATTAAAAAAAAAAAATGTTTAAATGAAAGCTCAGTATCTGTGAAAGCTCTTAATATTTTTGAACTGCGCTTTGATATATTTATTTACCAAAATCAATGCAAATATTTTTCATTAGAATATCTGTGAAGATCGCAATTCAATCGCAGTAAATAAGCCAGCTTTTTAGTGAAAGCTCGGGCAATTGTTAGAAAACAAGAGTTCTGAAAAGCTTTAGCTCGCGGTATAAACTAAACAGCTTGGCTGCAATATTGGCTAATATATGACTAAATAGGGACCTCTAATGAGTGCTTATGAGTTTCACCAACTCGATTTTGGACTGAAAGTTGACGAAAGGAGCTTTTGATGTTTTTGAAAAGCTCGAATGAGCTTGAAGGCTGTTATCAAGTGTCGATTTTGTATTATAAACCGAGAGAATACTCAAAGTGAATACCACTTATAGACATTAATTACACAAAACTTAACGGGTAATAACGTTTGTTCCCATTTACAACAAAAAACTTTATATATTTGCTTTTGTGTATAATTTTTTTATTTGCATTTACGGAAATGAGTGTGTAACTTGATTTACAGCTACGATATCAAGGCCAAACGTCTCGAACAACAAACGTTCAAGATGTTTGTAATAACACAATAAACATAAATGTACACATACACACACATGCATATATATTATATTTGGTATTCATGCTTATGAGCAGCAAAAGCCGCATGGAAGACAAGTCAAGCCTTCGACGCTAAGTCCACACGAACATATCAATAACCACTTAAGTATGGCATGATTTGGCATTAGCACAGTCGGTTGTGGTTGTTGTTGTTACAGCTGTCAATAATAGCCAGCAACGCCTTAAAATCGTAGCTAGTTAACCGCTTGCATACATACTCACGCATACGCGCGTATGTGTGTGTATGTGCGCTTTAATGCGAGAATGAAATGTGCGCTGCTTTACAATGCCCTCCACACAAAGCAAATGAGCTTTAAGCGTGTGAGTGGGCTCGTATGCTCTTTGAGTGTGGTGAAATGTGTAAGAGCGCATGCGCAGAAGTGTTTATGGCGCTTATGGTGCACACACATGCCGATTTGTGTTTGTAAGCCGCTTCAAGGCACAAATATGAATTGAAATACTCGTAATAAAGTTATAAGCAAAGCAGGCGGGCGTGGTGTAAGCGTAACTGCGACTCAAAGAATTTCTGGCCAAACGCTCGTGTGCCAATTCCGCTGCAAATGACTGTGGGCCGAAAAGCGCCGCAGCGTACAAAAAACAAAACTAACAACAACAAAAGCATAATAGAAGCTTATAAATTCTGTTGGTAGAAATTAAAAGACAACAACAACAAGTATCAGCGCAAAATAATAAAATGTGGCTATAAAAATATGCGCACACACACAGCCACATAAATCTTACAAACGCGCACATTTCATTATTGTGGGTTTGGCCATAACGCAATGGAAAATAGCGCCGCCAGCGTTGTATGTGCGACTGCTGCCACTGCTGACCGCTACAAGCTGTAAACAGCTGTGCTGCCGCCGCGCGCTCAGGCTATTTTGCTCGCTACCAGCGCTGTATAAGCTGTCTTGTAGTCAGCCAGCCGCGCTTAGGCAATGCCAACTTTGAGTTTTACAGCTCACAGCGCTTGCTACATACGCTAGCTGCCGCCGCTCTAAGCCATCGGGCGGGCTTTTGTGCCATTTTTATGCAGATACACATGTGTTTGCTGTTGTTTTCAACGTTGTTGTCTTGTTGTTGCGCATATGCTGACTTGTTGTTGGCCAACATGGCGCTGCTAGCCAAGTTATGATTGAGTTCTAATGATTTTGTGAAATGTATCAAGGAGAACGAGTTTCGCGGAATTGTGGCAGCATGCCAACGAACGAACTTTATATAGAAGGACAGTGGACCAAGTGTGGCATAGGTGTTTGAAATTTTTATTAATTTAAAAACTCACAAAATAGGTTCCAGCGCAATAATTACATCGGCTTTTAGGCGTATAAAGCTTCAAATTAATGCAAAAGCTTATGTGAAAAGAGATTTGACTTAATCCTTGGTTACCACTTACGGTCGCAGGCGCCATATATATGGGGTTGATAAGCTCATCAAATAAGCTTTAAAGCTATAAAAAAAATTCGCTGCCCCGCCTACATTTTCGTAGAATAGATTAGATTAGATTTGAAAATGAGGTATGCACTGCGACCTAGGGTCTATTGTGCCCTCTCCTCCATCACATGCATTCCCAAAGTCCCTTCGTAGAATACACCGCATCCCTTTTTATTCTAGCAGATATTTATTCTTCAATTTAACCCTTGTTTTGCACTTAAGATCGCCTGGTGTCGGCTACAGTAGCAGACATTTTGCATAGCAAAAGCTTTACTAAAAATTTCATAAATTTTTTAAACAAAACAAGAATATTATTCAGAAATACAAAAGGGTCCTTACAAGAACTTGATACTGATCGCTGGTGATATAGTTGTTCGATCTGTGTAATGTAATATCCTTTTTTTCTTGAAGATATCTCGCCAAATGAAAAAGTTTTCCATACAAGCACTACATTCCGATTGTCCAGTTTGTATGACAGCTATATGCTATGAGGTGCGATATGGATCGTTTCGGCAAATGAGCAGCTGCTTGTTGAGAAAATGATGGAGAAATATTTTTTTAAGCAGATAAATTTGCTGATATCAATGATAACAAATTATGAGATTGAACAAAATGATAGATTAACCTTTTGCTCTCACTGGCGCTCATATTTTCCACCGTCACACCACTGTGCGCCAACAACGAATTCACCGAACCGCTTGTTTGCTAGTTCGATGGCGAGACGCTCAATATAAGCGCGCGGCCAATTAGATAAGTAGGTTTCAATGCGCAAATCAGACAAGAGAAAAATATATTATTATTTATTACAGCAAGACAAAACGACGCACAACAACAACAGCAACAGCGGTGAGCCTAACAAATGGCTAGAACAGTGAGTAACCACAAAATAGCCAACAGGCAGCAATTGCTTAAGTGTGTCTAAAACACAATTGCAGGAAATGGAAATTGAATACCGAAACCGACGAACAACAAACAAATATAATAGCAACAACAACAACAATAAGTGCTTTGGTTGGCGGTAGCAGCAAACCAGTCAACTGACCAAGCAGCCGGACAACAAGAAAGCCAGCAAACCAGTAAGTGCAAGCTTGAATTAAGCCAAGCACATATATGCATGTGTATGTGTGTGGTTGTGTGATGGTGTGCGCTTGTTTGCATTGCAGTAGGCACAAATAAATCTCGGCTATAATATCCGCTGTTGTCGCTTTACTGTTGCATTAACATACGAGTGCATATCTAATTGTAATTGTAATTGAGTGCAGAGTATGTGCGAGTCACTCACTGAGTAAATATATATATGTACATAAGCAAGCCAGTGAGTAAGTAAATCCGGCGAGCGCTTAGAAATGCATACTCGTTTGCTGTTTGCCATTCAAATGTAGTTCATGTTATGCTCAACAAGCGTTAAATTATACAATATTGTATAGAAAATTTTAATTTAGACAATCGACATGGCACTCGTGCGCATTTACTCACACACAAGCACATGCAAATGCACGCACACATACATATGTGCATACTCAGTGGCATACATATAAGGCAACGAATATGTTGTAAGCATTAAACGCTGCACTGAAGTTGTGGTCAAGCCGCGCCAAAATGCTTGCCAATAATCCGCACACAAACACAGAGCCACGCACACATATACATGCACATGCAATCATATTTGCACATTTGTTCAATATCATTTCGGCATATTGTCGGTGCAACGCGCGTCTGCCTGCTTGCAACACCTGCCCACACTTCTTATTACAAACAACACCACCACAACAACAACAACAACAAGGCCAACCACCTCTTACGAGCGAGAGAAAGGCGCACGCTCAGGAAGTTGACGTTTGGTTGGTGGCATTAGCTATGCCGCATTGTTAGCTCGGTATTTGGGTCGGAAGATGTGATTATAATTTTGCAAATAACTCGTTTTGCTTGCGCTTTAAAGCAACTGCAACTCATTTCAGCGCAGCGCCGCCCATGCATTATTTGCATACACACATACACACACACAACCGCATGCAAATGCTTGCAGCGTTCATACAACAGTTGCTGTGGTGTGGTAAGAATTCACAGCACGTGACAGGATAGCTTAGCAATTTACACATACACACACTCACTCACACTTGTACAAATACATAGCTGCATTTCTAGCTAATTAATTTATTCAAAGTTGTACCGTATTAAATACAGTTGATGCGTTGCAGAGGTGCTGACTTGAAAATTAAGCGCTTATGCATTATTAATTAACAATAAGAGGCGCAGGCAGCAGCAGCAACAACAACAGCATGTCTAATACGCATATATAATTCGACTACTTTGTGCAAATCTAAAGGGTTTACTCAAAGTTTCTGTGCATAAATTCGCATAAAATGGCAGCAAGTGCAATTTTGTTACTAAAGGCAGTTGTCACTGCTATGGCTGCCTATGAAAACGGTATATGGAGAGCAGTGAGCGCTATGAAAGCTGTGCTAGTGCTCTACTAATTATTCTAATGCGTTCATAAGTCAATTTAATTAGCTAAGTAGTTTCATGAGAATGCGATATTTTAGAGTAGCAAATAATGAATGAAGGAAATGTTGTGCATCTAAGGCATCGGAGATTTCAGTTACAGCCAATATTTTAATATGTTATACACACAGTCGATTCTAAGCTGAAGGAGGTATGCTTTTATGTGTGTTTCTAACCCATATTATAGTGGTTAAACGCAACATACCTTGTCGCATCTCATGGCTATTGACACAGTTTAGACTTAGCCTTTATCTAACTTTTATGTATATATCAGAATGTGTTTGTTCATTTAAATCAATACTAGTTCTGACTTAACTGATCTTTTCGGATTTAAAAATTTTTTTTTTTTTTGAGTTTCTGGAGTTCTTACAAAATGTCTGACATATCCCAATAGGGAATGGATGTTGCTAGGAAAAACAAGAAAAAAAAACAGTCCTATAAAAGCTTCATCTTGCTTTTGTTCGGTCAGTTTGAATGGCAGCTGCATGCCATATATTATACATATGCTAAATGTAGTTCGATATCGGAGCTATCAACAAATGACCAGCACCTCGGAGAGAAAAGAACGTATGCAAAAACTTAGCAACTAGTTTTACAGACAGATAGATAAACGAACATGGCTCCATCGAGTCAGGCCAATAATTTATGTATATACAACAATTATGTATGTATGTATATGTATGGTCACCGACGTTTCATTTGAGTTCAGGGTATAAAAGTGTCCGCCATATACTTCAATTCTATCGAGCATTGTTCATGATAGTTTATGGGTGCTGTAGATATTGGAACAAATAGAGCGATCTATAAGTTCTTAGCCTCCCACGCAACAGCTGATCTCTTTTGTGTTGAACGAAAGCTGAGCCACAGTAGCTAGTCACTACATGATAAGATTGTTTATCAACCACTATGATATATTATCAAGCTACACAAAACATATAATTTTTCAACTCATCTCGATTATTTTTTTAAAAACCGTAATTGTTGAATAAATAATCTTTAATAAAAAATTTTTGTGGAAACTTTGAATGTTTTTCTCAGTAAAAAAACATTATCAAACTAAAATATGAATTAAGTAATATTACAAAATCTGACAACTGTAAAAGAAGGTGTATTATTTCATTGTAAAATATTTCATCACGTTTTAAGGGCAAGTCAAGGTCACACAAGCAGCAAACATTTTAAACGCAGATGGCGTTTGCCAACAACATGCTCGCTATGCTACAAAAACAAAGTGTTTTAGTAAAATATGCTATGTTCGATAATTTTCATAAGCAATAAATCGATTCGCACAACCAATTCAAGAACAGCACGAGGTCACCGCTTAATTCACACCTAAATTTTTTCCTGTATAATATTTTAAACAAAATTTTATTTCTTCCGTCTTCTCTTTAGAAAATAATTTTGCGCGGTAGCGGCATAAGTTTATGGTGAGAAAAATTTAATATAAAACATGAAAAGGAATGTTCGAAAAAGAGCGGATGTTTTTGCTAATGATGCTTAAACAGACTTAAGAGTTTTTTGGTGGAAATGGCTAGCAAATTATTAATATTCTGAGCAGAATGCAATTCAATTTGACAGTAGGACTTATAAACTGTCAAGTAATAGACAAGTTAAGCTCAAAAGAACTAGAAAGCACATTCCTTGTCAACGCTTTCTACATAAAGCTGATGAGAATTAGATTCATAAAGCATATATAAAAGAAATCGGGAACATTTATTGCGTAGTTTTGAAATCTGATGCAATTTCCATTATTCGAGCGTCGTAATTTTTAAAACTTTACCAAAGTACAGAAGCTTTCACTATTTCAAAGACTTAAGTTATTTCATAAACTTGTTGAGAACTATAAACACTAAAATTAATTTAATGAAAACCACACACACTTAGCTTTTGATTGAGTTTCTACTGCAGCGAAAGTAAAATTTTCAGCTGCTGGTAAATATGATGAAGAAAAGAGAGATATAATTTATAGAGAAAATACGTTTAAGTAATATATTTAAAGCCCAAAAGTGTGGCCAATGCCAATCAAATCATAGACATAACCCATAAAAGCATCACAACAAAGTATCTAAGCAAAGAAATCGTTTAAAGTGTATTAAATGTAAATAAGCGCTCCATTGACCGACTGACGACGTCTTACAGACAGACAGAGTTGTTGGCACAGCTGGTTATTTGATGGATTGATGTGATGCCACATGAACTGATTCACAACAGATTGACAATGCGATCAATGCTACAGTTAACGACGCACCATACGCATGGTCCGACTGGTAGCTGGGCTCGGCTAGCAAGCCAAATAGTCTGCTTCGTCGCTGCACCAGTATCTCTGACCACAATGAGTGGTTAAGTAATGCGTATTGCCAAGCGCTGCCTTGGTGCGGTGGAGAGTGATCGGACATACGTCGCTTATGTTGCTTTTGAGTAGTTCAACAGGTCGCGATCGACAATCATTTGCCAAATGGCTGACGCACGCTTGACGTAGCCATAGACGGTAAAGAATCGGTCAGTCGACATGTAATCCATCAGCTGAGCAGCATGATACGCAGTGTATATATGTCAAGATGTTTTGTATGCGAGTATGTGTGAGCAGACCATTTTTGAGCTATGCATGACTCTGTAGGAAAGTTGTACTCAGTCATTTTAACTGAGAAGACTTAGCGCTACGCAAGTTTGGCTGGCATTTTTAGGTTATAGCGGAGAAAGGTTACGTCATAACAACCCAAGCAAATTTCAACGATCTTAGTCTATATCAGAGCTCTTAAAATTTACCAAAATTCTCACAAATGGTGAGGCGGCTAATAAAAGCACAAATAGTGGGAAACTCTCGAAGAGAGATTGGAAATAACCTTCAGAATGGGTTATCTAATCATATCGCAGCGAAATATATTCTGCATGTAATTTAAGATCACTGAACTCAAAAAGTATTCCTTGGATTCCAGACTGTGACTAACGCTAAGGAATCTGAGTTTCGAGTGAGTTTCGTATTTGAAAAAGAACTTGAGTTACTACTCCAGGAACACATCAAATTGTTTCGTCAAATTTTCCTGCAAAACTGCCACAATATGAACACTTAACGAGCGCACGACTAAATTATGTTGACCATCACGATTTGCCAGCGCTGTAGATCAGCTGTTCAGGTTGATGGCAGTACAAATTGTAGGTGTTAGTAATAAAAGAATAATAAGTAATTGCCTTGGCTACCATTTGCCAGTCTTCGCTATGCTTCTGCTGTATGGAAGTAATTAAAATGCCACAATACAAAAGAAAAATGAAGTACTAAAGTAGTGGACAATCAATAAAACCGCAATAATTTGTTTCATTGAAGATTTAAGAAAAGTACTCTAAACATTTAGAAATTGTAGATAAGCTTAATTTGTTACTCAATAATGGTATATGTATATGTATTCTTTGATTTACAATAATTCAGCAAGTGTGTGAACATCAAAGGATCTAGTAATTGAACGAATAAACCGGTGCGCGGCAAACTGAAAATCAGCGGCAGTGCAAAAGACAGCAGCCACGCAAATCAGCAAAAAAACTGAACATGTGAAACACACCAGAGGTATGACTGTAAATATAACGTAACTAGCATACTTTCATTTTTATTTTTAGTTTTTTTCCAAACTTGCCACAATTGTTGCGCATCATTTATCATGTGAACGCCTTGGCTGCGTGAATTTTGTGAGAAAACTGCAGACTGGCAAAATATTGCTGGCAAATATCTCAGCGAAGACGATTATTTTTTGCTCTATTTTAGTCGTAAAGTGCTTTTTATAAAATATTTATATTTATTTTTCGTTTATTTGGCATTTTAATTGATTCTTCTAATTTCCCATGTACTCGGCTGTTAAATGGATTGGAATACTGTTAGGTGAAGCGATATTGATGTCTCTATGTCTGAACAGCTGCCCACATTTTAATATATATATTTTGAGGTTTCGGATGATTACGGAATGCCAAACGGAAATAGCAAAGCGTTTGTTTCATGCAATAATCCTATTTGTTTGATCGCCAATAGCGTATGAGATCATTTATCATTTGTGCTGCCGAAATCGTGATTCACAATGATAAGTAAGAGAGCGACATTCTTCTATTATGGTTGTGTCTTTATGTATTTCTGGGTTATAATTCTACTTACTAATGAAACCTAATTTGAGTATTGAGAGAGCACTGAAGGTACTAAAGTTAAAAATCGTAGTTTGGGGGTATAAGCCGTGGTTAATAGAGCTTTAGATTTTGAGATCCTTCGTTTGTGAAATAAAAACTAAGTAAACGATGTAGTCAAACATGAATTATATACCATAATGAATCTGCTTTTTTTTTGGCGCCTGTATTTTTAGCCAAATATTTCATTTACTGGATACCAAAAATCGAAAGCATCGAAAAATCACTTGCAACTGTCAATTTTCACCACACACGTATTTTAATTGGCATTTATCATTTGCTTCGTTTCATAACACTTCCAAAAAGTGTTGATCATGCAGTAATCAGCTAAATAATGAAACTCAAGCAGACCTAATTTCTCGTTGATATTCACTTTTTGATGATTTACATTTTCCCTTGCTGTTCGGCAGTTCACCAAGAAGCCAAACGTTTGGAGGTTTCAATGAAGTCAAGCTGATTGAATAATTTACAAAAAAAATACAGTTTTAATTAAAGCAACTGCAACTGTTGGTTGGGATTTCTATACTTTGAAAACAAGAGAGCGAAGTAAAAAGTAAGAGGAAATGAAGTCAAAATTTCTTCAAATCATTCGCTTTCCAGAAGCAATGCTAAATTATTGTATAGTGAAATTTAAATCAATCATGGCAAAGCAACAACAATTGCGAAATTTAAGAAAAATTTTATTAGCAACTCATGCCGAAGTGCAAAGTGAGCGTTTGGGTGATTTATTGTTCACAACAGTGGCGCTGCAAAAGCAATAAGACGTGAATGATTTGGTGATATAATAGACCATGTGGAGTACTTGCAAAACTAATTGTAGGCGAAAGTGAAAGACTATTTGTTTCAACAGTGTTTATATCTGATAAATACTGCTGAAACTAATAGGCTTTTACTCAATACTACCGAGGTCAACCATATCCACTTTGTTGTTAGAAAATTCTGTTGAAAGAACAGTAGTTGTATGAATCTTGCATCAACTCTGGATTGGCGACATGTAAAAAAAATCCGCAGTGAATACAGGAAAGTTAATTTAAAAGTTTTGGAGGCTAAATGTAGCAGAAGACATGTAAACTAAACAAGTATTATTCGGTAGAATTCAGAAAAGTTTCTTCACAATTCAAAAAATTTTCCCAGGATCCAGAAGCCCGACATTTGGTTTGTGCATGGCAAAAAATAAGAGCTCCCCAAGGTCAAAAAAAGATCTCCTCTAGGATACTAATAACTTTCATATTCAGAGATTTAGGTAAAAAATGGATCGACAAAAGCGGATGTGATTACTCTTGCAGCCAAACATTGTCAGTGATAATTTTGATATGTGTTCCACAAGTTCAGTTAACGCACTGTGAATTTTTTCAGACACTCGTCGTGTTTCAAAGTTAGTCCCAGCTGTATTTACTTGTTTTTAAGCGCAAATTTATTCCACTTGGCTCATCTTACAACATTTCACTGCAACATTGACGCAATTAACTGCCGCTTAACAATTTTTTCCACTAAATTTACGATATTTGCACGCATTGCAACTTCTGTACTAAGTACCCCCACAAATACCAACAATATATGTATATGTTTGCTGCACTTTTATGGGCTTATCAATTGCGTAAAATCATTTTGCTTTTTAGATAAGCGAAAGGCATTTAAAAATAATGAAAAGCGCACGCAAATGCAAAACAACAACAAAACAAAAGCGAAGCTGACAAGCGAAAGGTATAGAGCAACGCGAGCAGGTGAACGCGGCTTGTTGTGTATGTAAGCTGGTGTGCGTGAAAGGATATGTAGGATAAAGTGCCTCACGTGAGGCAACACTTAAAGCGCACCACATTAGCAACAAAATTACAAAAATATCGTCAGCTATCACTTAAGCGTATTTACTACTCCTTTTTGTCGCTTTTCATTTTTTTCTCTCTGCTATCGACCCATCAATGCGCACCATGCCAGGCGATGCGTTGCATTGAGCGCATGCGTATAGCTGCGCGTCGAGCGCTTTCTACAGCGTGCAATGCATCCCAACCCATCTGTATCTGTATCTGCATCTGCACTTATGCTCATGTATCTCAACGCAGGCGCGCGCGCGCACATTCCACAGCCACATGCGCCTTCGATAGCGTCGCCGACTGCTGTCGCTTTATCGCAAAACCAATGCGCGTCAAGTATACTTGTGTGTGTGTGTGTGTTGGTTGATAGTTCTTTGGACAGTTCGTTGGTCATTTGGTTCGTGTGCTTGCGCTTTCCATGTGAACTGTGCCACATTTTGTTTTAGCGCATTTCAGGCGCTCTGTTGTAACAGCACTCCTCCTCCTGCTGCTGACAGCGTCTCTTAGATATAATATTTAAGATAAATAATAAGATCGTGATTCCAATTTAAGCTTGAGTGGTTTTAATCTGTTGCATTTTATAATCGAGCTATCAGCGTTCCGACGCATCCGCTGACCAGTGGCTAGTGGCTGGTGGCCAATGACCGGCGGTGTGGCTCCCTTTGTGGGCTTGAGAGACAATTTATTTCGCTATTTTATAGGTGGCGCATCGGTTTTTTGTTGCGTTTACGACTTTTGTCTACATACATACTATATCTCTTAAATCTTTCCAGCCACCACACCTCTTATAGACGCGCCCTGCAGCAGCGCGCGATCGCTCATACTCTTTACCTCTTCCTCCATGCATGCGCCATTGTCAGGCAGTGATAGTCTATCGTGGCGCGCTTGTCCAGCGAGCTAGGCGTTAAAGTACACTACTTGTTACCTCCGCCTTTGCCTTTGGCGTTTACTTGTGCCTCGGCAGTGTTGTTGCTAATGCGCGCGCACACAAGATCGATCTAATTAAGCGCGTCTTATCAACGCCTCAATCTGTCTACTACAAAATATTGCCTTTTTGTTGCTTTTATGGTATTTTATGTGGTTTTCTTGATTTTTATAGCGCTTATATTTATATCTAACAAATTTTGTTACGCTGCTGGTTGTTTACTTTGACGTTCTGTTGTTGTTGTTGTATTTTGTTTATTTATTTTTGTTTTTTACTCTGTTTATTTTATGCATTCTTCCGCGACCATTTATGACCTCTTCGGTTATGGTTTCTTACATTCTTTTATTTTTGTTATTGTTGTTTTATCAATTTATGGTAGTTGTTGGTTTATTATTGTTGCAGCTGAATGCTGCTTAACCTTAACTTGGCTAATTGAGGAGTGTACATGAAAGACTACTGGCTACTGTATACGAGTTTCATGGTTTTCAGAGGTATATACACATTTTGGGCGGGTCTTCGGCGACGCCTTTTGTTATTTTGGGAATAAAAACTATATGTAAAGTAGGTTGTGAGTGATTATGCTCTCCGTAGCACCAGAATTTGTCACTATATATACAAAAAAATAATATATGATTATTTTTTAAGAAAAATAGAATAGAAAAATGCCTAGTTCTCGGATAGTTCAATTATGATCTGATTTATTCTAGCTTTCTTATGAATCACCTTTTTCCAGAGGTTCCTTCACTATATATTTATATGCCTACTTCTGCGCATGAATCGTCCCCAAATATTGAAAAAATAAAATATTTTTCACAAGAAAAAGCTTTCAGCAAGTAACCGAAAATTTACGCTCGAAGACTTTTCTAAACTAGCCCCTCTTCTAGGAAAGCAGACAGAAAAGTTTCTTGAAGTTACGAATCTACTTACGCTTTTCTTAAATAAACGCTTCAAAGATTAAACGATACAAATAATTGCAAACGTATCGCTATATTGCCACAGCTTAAGCCAAAGATATCGAGAATTTACAGAATTTTCAATAGTGCAGGACCTGCAGTTTCATGCAAGCTCTAAGACGCTGTCGGCGCTTATAAGCTCAGTTTGAATTTCTACAATATTTAGAGGGTTTCAGCAGTTCAAAGTTTAGCCGAAGTGGATGCCGAACCCGAACGCCGAACTTATTTACTTTATACGTCATATGAAGTGCTTAAAAAAGCTTTCCAAGCTACCATATTTTAATGCGTCTTTGTGGTAAATGTTAATTGCGCACACCTCTATTTTTACGGCTGGTCATACATAAATATAACCCACAAGCAGGGCGATAGCGACCAGACCGCTAACAAAACAACTTTGAATATACATTTAGCGCCTAGCAAAAGTTACATTCACACTTTATAATACATCTACAGTGGGCTGCAGGCGATATTTGCTTTTCAAAATGATTAAGAGGCAACAAAGGCCGAGTTTCGCCTACACATTGGGGCGCTGGAAACTCTAAGCGGCTATTCAACTTTTATAAAAAGCTTTCATGTGTCAAAGCTATACCAACTGGTTTAATTTTTCCAGTCTGACCGAAGTGCGTTCAGTGAAATTAATTATTTTACTTTACCCGGCATGCGAACCCACAACGAAACGGCTATTAACTGCGCACTCATTTATGTTGGCGCTTTATATGGCTGAATGAAATCGAAAATCACGCAAGGAGTTGTAAAAATTGGGTCAACGAAATAATATTTTACTTTATTTAGCATTGCGATTACGGCACTATTTTTTAAACTTTTTTTTAGAAGTAATAAGCAAAAAA